CCCCAAAACCCCAAAACCCCAAAACCCCAAAACCCCAAAATAAAATAATAAAATAGAAAAATGAGCTTAATAAGATTTATATCTCCCTTCAAAGTCAGACAGAAGAAGAATAATCATGCTGGGCTTCTGAGGCTCCTGAGGGACTCGGTAAGAGTTTATTTTTGGATGGGTTGTTTTGAGGGGAAAGTTAAGGAAGGAGGCTAGATAGAGGGGTTTAGAGGATTTTATTGGGTTCTAAGGGTGATTTTAGACCAAGGTGGTGCAATTTGGTTTGGGGAGAGGAAAATTTAATGGGGATTTGAGGGGTATTTTTCAAAGTTTGTGGGCGATTTTTGTAAGTGAAGAGGGATTGATAGTGGATTTTGGTGAGTGGGGATGGTGGACAGAGCTTTGTTTAATAATAATCCATATAATTTACTATTGTTTTAATCAGAATAATAAGAAACTTCTTCCAAAGTATTAAATATTCAAAAAAAATTCTTTTAAAAATCAGAGCCGATTCATAAAATTTTACAAAAAATCCCACAGACCCCTCTATACCAAAAATACCAATTCATTCTCTTGAAGCTTTCTCTTAACCCCTATAGTCAATCGCTAACCAAAAAGTCTGAAACAACTTCAAACTGCATCTCCAAAAAGGCCGAAAAATCACGCCTAAAGCATGCCAAATCAGAGGTAAATCTCTACTCAAATTCTCTAGAAGACACAAGTTGCCTTCCAGACCAAGTTGGGGTTTCAGGCCTAGTTTCAAGAAGGATCAAGTCACTGAACAACAGCAGGAAAGGCAGAGGTAAAGGAGTAGCGGTGTGTTAAGCTCGGTCATGGTTTAGGCATGTGATACTAGTATTTGCTTCTTAAAAATACCTGCCAATAAAAATAGCAAGGAAATTCATAGGAGACTCTAAAGGGCACTTGATATAGCTAATGAACTATTAATCGGTCATTACTGCCACTGTAACATTTCTTTCTAGGATAGAGTCTTCAAAATAAACTCTAATCATTATTCCAGAAGGATTTTTGGTTCTACCATAACCTAGTTTAAGCTCTGAAGCGACTTAGAGGAATTATTTATCAGATCTTTGAGTTAGCTTTTACGATTTCTTAAGACATTATTAGTGAGAGAGTTCATGGAAGAGGAATTTGCTTAGATAGGTCTAGAAGTGAGTTTAAGGGAATTTGGAGGAGTTTTAAGAGTTTGAAGGGGTTTTAGACCTAGGTGTGGGAGTAGGTGATATTTATTGTAGGAGAAGAAGAGAAGGACAGCAGAGATATCAATATTTCAAGGTATAGAACTGTTTTTGCTTTTTTGAAGAGTTATTTAACTTTTAAAAAGGCGGAAAAATCATCTAAATCAAACCTCAAACATACAAAATTTTGATGATTATGAGTACTTTCCTTCGATAATAATAGAAAATCCTTAATGGCTATAAACACATTGACTTCATCCAAAAAGTCGCTGAACCGAAAAGAAAATGAAAAATTCTACGGAAGTTTCATAATGTATAACAGGTCTGATCTATTACAGGAACAAAAGACGTAGTCTCGTTGAAAGAACCAGGTTTCCCTCAAGAGCAAATATAAATGAAAGAAGTACTCCGCTTTTAATCATCCTTAGACGAGAGTGTAAAATAAACTCCAAGAGATGGCAAAGAAAAGAGAGCTTATAAAACTTCATAAATAAAGGACTCAAGTCTGAAGACCTTAATTATGCCGCTTTCTACTCAAATAGGTCAAATGTATGCTGAATGGGTAACCTAATAGATGAGCTCACGCCAAGGTCTTCCCCCCAAATCTCCTGAACATGAGACAAATCGTTTGTATTTTTCAAAGAAACTCAAAACAACTGTCGAAGAACATCAAGAAGCCCTCATTCTTGATGAAGATGGACATGATTCTTCTATTGAAAGTGCGAAGGGAGGAAATAAGATATTCCGCTTAATGACCAAAAGTATGAACGGTATTAACATTTTTAGGTAAATAAACAAAAGAAAATCATCAAACTTAAGTAAGGATCTTAAATTTACATTCCCAGGAAAGCAAAAATTAGGAAAGAACGTGAAATTAAGGTAAATTTCACTAAATTATTATTGATCTAGGCAAATGAGAACCAAATTAGAAATAATGCCCTCTTTGAAACTCATGAGAATTACCAGAGTAGTCTTAACACGTACTCTGCTAATCTTGAAGACAAGCAAGACTGGTAGGAGCTTATGGTAAAGCAATAGACTTACTCAGCTGATTGAGCTCGAAGAAGACTTTCTCAGAGAGCATGGGTATTTCCTTGTATCTATCGCCATAGAACCCTTAAAAACCCTATTAAAGAGACTTACCAGGAAATAGTCAAAGAGATCAGACAGCTAGTTGAATATTGAGGTAAGCCAATTCTTTGCTCACCCAAGGATCCACTAAAAAGCTAAAAGAGATAATTCAATGAGGGCTTGACCTAAACAACGAAAGACTCCAAGCGAGGAATAGACCTTGGAAGAATAACAAAAAGAGCTGGACTAGAGCCCAAGACTTGAAGCGGTATGTCTTCTATATAACCCCTATAGCTTCAAAAGAGCAATTAATATTCTAAGGCAGAGTAAAATAAAGCTCCCTCCCACATAGCCAGGCCACTTGTTTCATTAATTACAATATTATTTCAATAATCTCAAGCTGAAGTGGGGTTTTGGGGTTTTGGGGTTTTGGGGTTTTGGGG